GAATGAATTTAAAACCGTAAGATATGTTCAAGATCAACCATAATCGTTGACTTTTTAGGGGGGTAAATATTAAGAAAAAAATTATAATTTCTTGACAATTGGATGAATGAATTTGAGACTGTCTGATATGTTCTAAGATCGGTCGTAATCATTGACTTTTTGGAATAAGGAAATATTAAGAAAACAAATTATAATTTCTTGTCCGTTGGATGAATAAATTTGATATCATAGAATCAACTTGTTGAAGCCGTCCTGTTTTATATTATAGATGTGAATATTTTATCCAATTATATACGATGGTAATCCAAATCTCCTTACCCAACTACACAGGACCGGCCCCACCTTGTTGTAGATAAAGCTTGGGCTTTAGGCCCCACAATTTGAGCTATATAATTAATCCACATAAAAATTTTAACTTTGCAAAAATTCTAAGTCCTATAAAAAGGCCTCAAAAAATTTAAGTTCAATTAAAATTTTTAATTTGGGTTCATGATTCAACCTATAATATTATAAAATCAAAAATCAAAAGTTAAAAAAAAAAAAAACTAAACGTATAAAAAATTTACTCAAAAATCAAGTTATATATTACCTCACATTTACTCTCTTCTGATAAAAAACAAAAATAAAAGTTAAAACATCTTCATCGACAACACTGATTCTTCCTCTATCACACACACATATAATAAATAAAAAATAAATTAATTTTTGATATTAAAATAAAAGGTCTCATTCAATATTATCGCTTTAAGCCTCAAAATACTTTTGGGGCGCCCCTGCAACTACAGAACAATAAAAGAATGAGGCCCAGAGAGGCTTCGTGTGTGCTTAAGATAGATGGTAAATTAAGAGTGAAGTGGAAACAAAAACAGGAATATGAGTGGTTCACTTCAGCCGAATAACTAATGATACATTCATTGTAAAAGAAACTCTTGCTCCCTAAGGGCTATCCTACTTGGAGAAGAAGATTGTTGTTACGATGGTTTTCCTAGGAACCTTTTACAAAAGTATTTTCTAGGTTTCTCATGATATTTTCTCTTGTCTATCTTTTTTTTTTGTCTCTCTCTATGATGGTGTCTTTTGCTATTTATACATTTTATCATTAGGGTTTCGCAATGGTTTTTTTTCTTTAGTTGATTTTGTGGTCTCCTCTTTATTTGTCCTGTAGTTAAACCTGCCACGTTGACGTTTTCTGCGCCCACTACGCCTAGAACGGTATGCACCAGACATCTCCATTATTGATAAATATTTGTTCGTTAAAGATGTTAGATATAGTCCCCTTGTCCCCTACTCACATGGCACGATATTGTCCCCTCAGATCTGCTTGGTGTCGAGCTCTAGACTCCTAAGCATATGCTTATCACCAAGCGTGCTAGGGCTAGGTTTGGCATTTATCTTGAGCCGAATAATCCTAGACTTCCATGGAGTTGGATTGTGGCCCAAGCCGGACATGGCAAATACCATTTAGATGGGATGCTTATGTTCCGTTTAGTATAATAAAAAAATTGAAGAATAAAAAGTTTGAAGGATAGAAAATTGAAGAGAAAAATAAAACATTATGTTTGGTAAGGAAGAAAAATAGGAAGGATAGAAAAATGGATGAATTAACTTTTTTTCTAACTCACCAAAATCAATCATTCTAAAAGTGGAAGAAAAATTGATGAAAAGTTAATTATTTGTATTGAAATGTATCTTANAATGTTACACTATACAAATGATATTAATGGTAAATTTGACAAATTTAATTATTATGTCTGAAAAAATCATGTGTCTCAAGATTAATCATAATCGTCCACTGGTTGGGAGGAAAAATATTAAGGAAAAAAAAAATTAATTTATTGACCGNAAATATTAAGGAAAAAAAAAATTAATTTATTGACCGTTTGATGAATGAATTTAAAACCGTAAGATATGTTCAAGATCAACCATAATCGTTGACTTTTTAGGGGGGTAAATATTAAGAAAAAAATTATAATTTCTTGACAATTGGATAAATGAATTTGAGACTGTCTGATATGTTCTAAGATCAGTCGTAATCGTTGACTTTTTGGAATAAGGAAATATTAAGAAAACAAATTATAATTTCTTGACCGTTGGATGAATAAATTTGATATCATAGAATAAACTTGTTGAAGTCGTCCTGTTTTATATTATAGATGTGAATATTTTATCCAATTATATACGATGGTAATCCAAATCTCCTTACCCAACTACACAGGACCGACCCCACCTTGTTGTAGATAAAGCTTGGGCTTTAGACCCCACAATTTGAGTTATATAATTAATCCACATAAAAATTTTAACTTTGCAAAAATTCTGAGTCCTATAAAAAGGCCTCAAAAAATTTAAGTTCAATCAAAATTTTTAATTTGGGTTCATGATTCAACCTATAATATTATAAAATCAAAAATCAAAAGTTAAAAAAAAAAAACTAAACGTATAAAAAATTTACTCAAAAATCAAGTTATATATTACCTCACATTTACTCTCTTCTAATAAAAAACAAAAATAAAAGTTAAAACATCTTCATCGACAACACTGATTCTTCCTCTATCACACACACATATAATAAATAATAAATAAATTAATTTTTGATATATTAATAAAAGGTCTCATTCAATATTATCGCTTTAAGCCTCAAAATACTTTTGGGGCGCCTCTGCAACTACAGAACAATAAAAGAATGAGGCCCAGAGAGGCTTCGTGTGTGCTTAAGATAGATGGTAAATTAAGAGTGAAGTGGAAACAAAAACAGGAATATGAGTGGTTCACCTCAGCCGAATAACTAATGATACATTCATTGTAAAAGAAACTCTTGCTCCCTAAGGGCTATACTACTTGGAGAAGAAGATTGTTGTTACGATGGTTTCCCTAAGAACCTTTTACAAAAGTATTTTCTAGGTTTCTCATGATATTTTCTCTTGTCTATCTTTTTTTTTGTCTCTCTCTATGATGGTGTCTTTTGCTATTTATACATTTTATCATTAGGGTTTCGCAATGGTTTTCTTTCTTTAGTTGATTTTGTGGTCTCCTCTTTATTTGTCCTGTAGTTAAACCTGCCACGTTGACGTTTTCTGTGCCCACTACGCCTAGAACGGTATGCACCAGACATCTCCATTATTGATAAATATTTGTTCGTTAAAGATGTTAGATATAGTCCCCTTGTCCCCTACTCACATGGCACGATATTGTCCCCTCAGATCTGCTTGGTGTCGAGCTCTAGACTCCTAAGCATATGCTTATCACCAAGCGTGCTAGGGCTAGGTTTGGCATTTATCTTGAGCCGAATAATCCTAGACTTCCATGGAGTTGGATTGTGGCCCAAGCCGGACATGGCAAATACCATTTAGATGGGATGCTTATGTTCCGTTTAGTATAATAAAAAAATTGAAGAATAAAAAGTTTGAAGGATAGAAAATTGAAGAGAAAAATAAAACATTATGTTTGGTAAGGAAGAAAAATAGGAAAAATAGAAAAATGGATGAATTAACTTTTTTTTCTAACTCACCAAAATCAATCCTTCCAAAAGTGGAAGAAAAATTGATGAAAAGTTAATTATTTGTATTGAAATGTATCTTATTTGTTTATATATCTTTTGATATATACATATATTATGTATATACTAATTTCATATAAAAATACAATGATAAAATATGTATTTGTATATATATTTAAAAATTTTAAAAATAAATTTCACAATAAAAAAGTAAAATAAAAATTTTAAATTTTTAAAAAAATATTTTTTTTCATCTTAGATGGGAGTGAAAATTTTCGACTCAACACGATGACACAAATTTTATAACACAAACTTGATTTTAACTCGATAAGAACTTGAAAATAACATAACACACGAACAAGAAATATAAAAGGCTCATATTCAGTTTAACCTGTCAAATTCAAAATTAACATCATCTATCTATTTATTTAAAAATAAAAACTTGCTCTATTTTTTTGTTTGTATGGTAACATAAAATTAACACAAAACTAATATGTTTAACTAGTGTTATAGACATAAAATATTAATTATTTGTAACTATTTATTACGTACTGACATAATTATTATATAAAAAAATATTTTTACTTATTATTATTATTATTATATTTATTTAAGTTAATTTTTAGTTTGTAGAAAAAATATTAAAATGAATTCAATTAAATAAAAATAAAATATTAGCGTTAAATTTTTTATTTAAAGTTTATGCGGGTCAATATGAATACGAATACGAAAATAAATAGGTCAACTCACAATTGGACACGACACATTTAATTAAATGAGTTGAGTTAGATTGAACTAATATTCGATAGAAACCTGTAATGATTCAACCCGAATCTAATACGACACAACTCGATTATCACCCCTAATTTTAGCCAACATTAAAAAAAAAAAATTAGTTATTTTTATTTTTCATCCATTCTACTAAACACAAAAAAAAAAATATATCATTCTTACTTTTCTTCCTTGAAGGATAGAAATCGTATCCCTCGTTCTTTTTATTCATCCTATTTTCTATATTTGTTATCAAACAGAGCATTAGATCGCCATTGATGAGCCCACCAGAAGTTTTGGACTCAAAAAACAGGTCTATACTTAAATCCATCGTCATCGACTCGTATAATTTTAATTTGATCATTAATAACTTGCAATTTAATAATCATTGTACATCGTGTGGACAGGGAAGAAGGACGTGTCCGCGTACATAAAGTCCCAGGGCATTACAGTAATTTCGTAAGATTTTATAACCGAAGTTTGACTATGACTAGGTGGTCAAGCTGGAACCAGAGAGGATAAAATAGAAAATCTTCATGGGCAAGAAAAAGATGCTATGAGAAGAACGAGTGGTTCGGGAAATTTCCTCAATGACACGTGCCCATTAATCGGGTACCCGAAGCGCCACGACGCGACTAGAAAACTGCCACGTCATCAATTAAAAAAATCGTAGAAATATCTAGAGAAGGCTATAAATATCCCCCAGCGGGAGTTCTGCTAGAAGATTTCTGGTTCTCGTGAAAAAACAAAGCTCTCTAAAGCCACTCCCAAAGAAAAAGTACGAAAACAGAACCCTAGTTGCGTGGAAGAGGCGCAATTGTTTGATTACGAAGAGAGATTTGCAAAAGAAGAGGTAGATTCTTCGCGCATATCATCGCTGATTATTGAGAGGTATGTGTTGATTTAAACTATTTATAGGTTTTTGATTTAATTTTGTGGTTATATCTATGTATGTGGATAGTATTTGAGGTGTTATTGAAATCAAGATTTGATGAATCGGGTGTTGAAATGTGATTTTCATGCTTGTTCCAGCTAGTTAATTGTTTTCGATTTTTTCAAGGTTTGTGGTTGATTTGGTCCTTTTTTTTTTTGGATTTCTCTCCATTTTATATCAAAAAAGGAAAAATTAATTGATGGATTTTTTTAGGGTTCTTTTGGGTTGAGGTTTATAATTTAGGAGTAATAACATGTTTCTTTCTTGTTTGGAGTTCTAATCTGTTGAATTTTTTTTTTTCCCGAATGGCTCCCCAGAAATCAGTCTCTAGTTTTTCTTCTACCGAGTTAAATGTTGGATTGGAACTAATAAGATTACTTGTCGGATAGTGGGTTTTAGGTTCCTTGGTCGCTAAGGAAACTAGTTCTTGAATTGGCCCGGATTGGTGTGTAATTAATTGGTACAAGTGAGCTGGGTTTGTCGTTATTTCAAATCAAATAAAAGAGGGAAAAAAAAAAGAAATAGACTCGCAGCTCTCTTTCTTCTTCTTCTTCCACCCAAATACCAACGTTCTGGACTTAGGTTTAAGTTGAAATTGGAATTTCAAACTGTCTTTATATTCAATCCGTGGTACTAGACGCCAATTGTTTCCAGTAGCAGATCTGATATCTGGTGGGTGTGTATTTCTTGCTTTAGGGTATCTGATTTTATGGGGACTAAAGAGATTGAATTGATGGTTATGTCCAATTGTGTGNATAGACTCGCAGCTCTCTTTCTTCTTCTTCTTCCACCCAAATACCAACGTTCTGGACATAGGTTTAAGTTGAAATTGGAATTTCAAACTGTCTTTATATTCAATCTGTGGTACTAGACGCCAATTGTTTCCAGTAGCAGATCTGATATCTGGTGGGTGTGTATTTCTTGTTTTAGGGTATCTGATTTTATGGGGACTAAAGAGATTGAATTGATGGTTATGTCCAATTGTGTGCTATGATAGTTGAAATTGAACTTGGTCTCTGTTTTTTCTTTTTGGTGAGGATATCATGTTGGTCTTCATTTCTTGTAGCAAGTTGATAAGCAGTGAGGTCATGGAAAGTTTCTGCATTGTGCCTTGATATATAACAGAGNGTCCAATTGTGTACTATGATAGTTGAAATTGAACTTGGTCTCTGTTTTTTCTTTTTGGTGAGGATATCATGTTGGTCTTCATTTCTTGTAGCAAGTTGATAATCAGTGAGGTCATGGAAAGTTTCTGCATTGTGCCTTGATATATAACAGAATTTCTAGGTATATTTAGGCTCTCCAAAGTAGGATTATAGTTCTCAAGTTGTAGATTACAGTTCCAATTTGATTGTCTGATTTGGAAGAGTGTACCGATTCACTGTGTGCCTAGTGCGTTGTCTATTTTACTAAAGTTGCCTAAGAATTTTCATCTTGTTACAGGACTACAGGGATGGGTGCTCTTGATCAAGCTTATAACTTGGCTTCTTTACCTTTGGATTACTCCAGAAAGAAAAAGTCCCGGATTGGGCGGGATGGATCTAAAGTTGCCGACACTCTTGCAAAGTGGAAAGATTACAACAGCAAGCTTGATTCTTTGGACGATGGAGGCAAGCCAGTGCGAAAAATTCCAGCCAAAGGGTCAAAAAAGGGATGTATGAAGGGTAAAGGCGGGCCTGACAATTCACATTGTAATTATAGAGGTGTAAGACAGAGGACATGGGGTAAATGGGTTGCTGAAATTCGGGAGCCTAACAGAGGTAGTAGGCTCTGGCTAGGTACTTTTGGGTCTGCCCTTGAAGCTGCTCGTGCTTATGATGAAGCTGCCAGGGCTATGTATGGTACCCTTGCCCGGCTCAACCTACCTGATAGCACTTTGTTGACAGAATCCTCTCATGATTCTTCTGAAATGCCAACTTCCTCATTTTCAGACTCAACTTTTTCTGGCTACTCTGAGATGAGCATGGCTCAGGATTCAAAGGTGAAGTTTGATGCTCTCAGCATTGAAGAACATGATGGGAAGGGGGAATCAACAATTGATACAAGCACGCAGGCCATATTTTGTGAGGCTGGTGCACCAATAAGCAAAATGAAAGAGGATGCCAAGTTCCAAGCTAGTGCACCAATGAGTGTGGTGAAGGAAGAAGCAAAGGAAGAGCTCATGGACACCACTGAAGGTAGTGGGTTTGAGCAGGATTTCATTCAGAACTTCGCCTTGGACGAAATGTTTGATGTTGACGAACTTCTGGGAATTTTAGATTCTACTCCGCATTATGGTTTGGCCAATTATGTTGATCAAGTAGGTCGCACCGAGTACGATAGTCTGCAATTCGAAATCCCCTCAGACCTATCATACCAGTTGCAAAATCCCGATGCGAAGTTGCTTGGAAGTTTGCACCATATGCAGGAGGCACCTTCAGGAGTTGATTATGGTTTCGATTTCCTTAAGACAGGCAGACAGGATGGCAATTTCCCATTGAATGAATTGGGATTGTTTGACTTGGACTCAGAATTGGGGCATCAAGGTGTTGAGGGCTGGTGCAGGACGCAGAATGTGCAACTTGAATAGGATATTATGGATTTCTGTGTAGCTGGTTTGAGTTGGACTCAGAATTGGAGCATCAAGGTGTCGAGGGCTGGTGCAGGACGCTGAATGTGCAACTTGAATAGGATATTATGGATTTCTGTGTAGCTGGATATAATTAAGCTTGGATATGGAGGATTTTGTTGTGGGTCTTTCAGATTTTTTGGATCTTATTTGTTATGGTGGTCTCTTAGTGTCTTAGGAGCTGGGTTAGATTCTAAAAGACACCAAGAGTGTAATAAGTCATATGAACGTGGTATCTGTTCTTTTTGTACTTCAACTCTTTTTTTGGGGATCTAATTGGTCTTGTGAGCTGATTCTCTCTGGGTTTCAGATTTTAGAGATCTCAGCCATGACACTTGTTGTTTTACCAACAAAATGTGGTGTTGTAACTAGGTCATTTGCTCACCACAAGTGGTCCTAGTGTGCCGGAGTGGACACATTCTTTTTTGTATATATGAGAGAAAACCATTGTTAAGTGACTTGTACAGTGTGAGAGTTTATCATACCTTTGTAAATAAAGTTAACTTTTACAGTGATCCGTAAGTTCCCGAGTGAATGCTTATAAACTTCCTTTTTGGCAGAGAGGGCTTCATGACCCTGAACTCTTCCTTGGTTTGACTTTGTTGATGAGATGAATTTAGAATGTTTTTTGATTTGTTTCTTTCTTCCTACTCGTTGCATCTCCTCCTCTATCTTCTCCAGAGTCGTGAGAGAGATTTTCTGTGTGGGTGGGNTTTCCCATTGAATGAATTGGGATTGTTTGACTTGGACTCAGAATTGGGGCATCAAGGTGTTGAGGGCTGGTGCAGGACGCAGAATGTGCAACTTGAATAGGATATTATGGATTTCTGTGTAGCTGGTTTGAGTTGGACTCAGAATTGGAGCATCATGGTGTCGAGGGCTGGTGCAGGACGCAGAATGTGCAACTTGAATAGGATATTATGGATTTCTGTGTAGCTGGTTTGAGTTGGACTCAGAATTGGAGCATCAAGGTGTCGAGGGCTGGTGCAGGACGCTGAATGTGCAACTTGAATAGGATATTATGGATTTCTGTGTAGCTGGATATAATTAAGCTTGGATATGGAGGATTTTGTTGTGGGTCTTTCAGATTTTTTGGATCTTATTTGTTATGGTGGTCTCTTAGTGTCTTAGGAGCTGGGTTAGATTCTAAAAGACACCAAGAGTGTAATAAGTCATATGAACGTGGTATCTGTTCTTTTTGTACTTCAACTCTTTTTTTGGGGATCTAATTGGTCTTGTGAGCTGATTCTCTCTGGGTTTCAGATTTTATAGATCTCAGCCATGACACTTGTTGTTTTACCAACAAAATGTGGTGTTGTAACTAGGTCATTTGCTCACCACAAGTGGTCCTAGTGTGCCGGAGTGGACACATTCTTTTTTGTATATATGAGAGAAAACCATTGTTAAGTGACTTGTACAGTGTGAGAGTTTATCATACCTTTGTAAATAAAGTTAACTTTTACAGTGATCCGTAAGTTCCCGAGTGAATGCTTATAAACTTCCTTTTTGGCAGAGAGGGCTTCATGACCCTGAACTCTTCCTTGGTTTGACTTTGTTGATGAGATGAATTTAGAATGTTTTTTGATTTGTTTCTTTCTTCCTACTCGTTGCATCTCCTCCTCTATCTTCTCCAGAGTCGTGAGAGAGATTTTCTGTGTGGGTGGGTGTGAAGGGTTGAGTGAATGGTTTCTAGTGATGATTGTTATGTGGAGGCACCAAGGCGGTGAAAGTATAAAGATTGTCATTATTTTGAACATGAAGTCCTATTGAGTTGAATTCGATTTTTGCTTCTCAGTTTCTTTCTTCTTGTTCCTTTTGAAAATATGTTCAATACACCCATGTTCACAAAGGCTTTTTTTTCTCTATTAAAGAAGCACAAAAATCAGGGTTGACTCGATGTAAATGGGGGACTTATGCAAAAGCTTTAAATAGGGTCTTGATTAAGTTTTTATATTTAAATTTCATTAATATATCGTTTTCAATTAATAATAGGGTTTGTGTATTCAATTTTTCTTCTAATATAATTAATCGTAAGTAAAATTTATAAGTTTTAATTTTGAAAAACTTCTTTCACAAATGGATACATATGGCAATGCATGAGTTAATAGCCCCATCCCCTCCCCTTTTACCTCCACATTCCACTCCCATCACACTCGAGCCATTTTCTCAAATAATAATAGATTTATTAGGTAAAATTACAATGAGTGGTTATGAAAGGGCAGAAGCAGTTATGTATATATGGAAATTGGACTGAGGAAGATTTTTCAAGCCGGTTTGAGGACCCCACTACATCTACTTGGTAGTTGGTACATGCTGCTTGGGGCTCAATCGAGCCACATCGTGGTGCCCGCGTATCACATATCAATCATCTCGTATGAATCACAGATAAGATCGAAAATTAAACCGAGTTTTGTAATTTCGAGTCGAGTCTGTTTGAATAATTTTTTAAGCGAGTTTAAAAAATTATTCAAAAATAATCTGAACTCGAGTCAAGCCCTATAAAATCAAATCTGAGCTAAACTTAAATAATTTGACTTGATTGTCAATCCTAATCACAAATCCCGTTTGGAGGGTTATTGTGGAGAGTGGCAAGATGTCACCTCAGTATTGTGATCCTTTAGGTGCAAGTGGAAAAGCCCATCTAGTTCAGGTAGACTGGTCTGGCCCAAATTGTTGGTCATCAACTTTGAAGGGCGTTTGGGCATAACACAAACCCCTCAGCAGGGCTCTAAATTCTCTCAATTTGGATCGAAATTCTTAGGAGTGGTACATGATGACAAGTATAAGATCAGGATCCGATAGAATTGATTCTATCGGATCAGGCTTGACTCCAAAATGGATCATCCAATTCTTTTTGAATGGCAAGAATCTATCCACATCAGTATATTTAATTCATTTAATACTTTAAAAATTCAAATTTATTTTAAATAAGAACAAATTTGCTCAGGCAAAAACATTCTCACGATTCAAAAAGAATTGAAGAATCCTCCAATAATTTGAGAATTGGAAGCGGTGTAGAACTTTGAATGAATTTGAATCTAATCGTAATTTTCACTATATTTATTTAGCACTAAAATAAATCAGTCTCTTTTCTCTTTTTTAAGTTATCAGTTAGACCATATGAAAATAAATTGTTAAAAAAAAGACCCCACCAAAATAATTTATATTTTATTTAACTTTTAAAAAATACATTGGTAATTACGAACCAAAATTAAAGCATTTTGTTTAGCTGATATATAATAAATATTTGACAAAGCGTTAATTGGTCAATTATATTTATAAGAAATTAGAATATTATTGTTTAAACCATATTAAAATAATTCACACTAATGCTATTGATTTAGAATAATTTATGTTTTATCTTAATTTAGAAAAAAAAATTGATTTGTAATTTTAGGAAAGAATTGATATGTAATCATAACCACAATTAAAGCATTTTGATGAGGTGGTAAATAATATATACCTTACAAAGCATCAATTTGTCCATTAGTAGAATGTTATCCCTTAAACCACATGAAAATAATTTATATTTTTTCTATGTTAAGAAAAAAAAAAAAGTAATTTGTAATCACAAATCAAAATGACCAAAATTAAAAATATTTTGCTTAGTTGGTAAAATAGTAAGGATAAATGATAATTTATACCCTTAAAATATATGCTTAATTTTTATTTGATCCTTAAAGTTTTAATTGCTACAATCAATCTTTAGAGCTTTAATTGAGTTTCAGTTTAGTCCTTACATCAAAATTTATTAATTTATTATGATGAACTAATAGTTCATAACCAAACACATGACTTAGGTACATGAGTACATTTGTTTGGTGATTCAAATATAGGATGGAGTTTTACATTTTTTTATATCTTCTGAGAATCTGTTAAACGAAGGTTATAGGATTATACTTTACTTCATCTGATTTTAAAAATGAAAGAAAGAAGGATAACTCAATTCAGTTCAACAAAAATTTATTCCAACGTTTTTTTGGGAAAAAGACGGATAACAAACCGAGAGAAATATCAATGTAGTTGAAAAAAATATTTTTTGTTGGATAAATACATTTTTATGGACAAGTTCTATGAAGTGTTTCTATCAGAATAAATTAATAAATCTGGATGGAATGATTGAACTGAAATTTGTTTAAATTTTTAAGGATGTAATTATATTCATTAAAACTTTAGGGGCTAAATAAAAATTATGTGCATACTTTAAAGGTATAAATGTAAATTATCAAAACAATAAATACATGACAAAAGCATCAATTGGCCCATTAACCACCAGACCTGACTTTCTTAAACAATCAAGCACAAGTGATGCTTTTGCCAACACCTGCTCCGCATCTATATGCATGGATCACACCACACACCTACCCTTACCTCACCATCTGATTCACCAACCATTCAACCATGGCCCACCTACCTCTAAATCAAAGCCGTTCACGTTTTTCTATTTCTCCTAACTACCCTTACCATACCAACTTATTTACTTCTTAACAATGAACCCACACAGCACTGCATCGAAGCTGTTCACTTTTCAATTTTCCAAAATACCCTTCTCAAACCAACCTTTTTACTTTCGAGTCCTTCGCTGTCCCTGAGCTCGTGATTCTGAACGCCTTTTTGCTCACCTTTTTTACAGAGCCCCTTTCGTCCTCATGCAGAAAAAGCAGAGGAGACACTGATTTCATTGCCCAAGAATCACAGTCAATTTGCCATAGATTTCTTCGCCCACTCACTCCATTACTGCATTCACTTTCTCTCTCATCACTGTTCACCTAACTCTTTTTGGTTCTGTACCATACATTTCTTGCGAAAAGCTTTAAACCTCAGTTCCTTGAGTATCAATTTCGCCGGAATTGGGGACATCGGATTGTAAAGTTTGCGGAATCTGACCTGATTCTTACTGAATTGAGCTCGTTTCAGGTTAAATCTATCCAAGTGCGTGCTTTCTACTTTCACATTTTCTCGGAAAATTTTTGTGTCGGACTGTCTGGTTTTATTGAGCTATCTATATTAGTTTGATTTTCCTGGAAAGTTTGTTATTATAAGCTAGTTAACATGTTCATGTGTTTCGATCTTGCTGTCTTAGACCTTCTGTATCTCAATTTCGTGCTATTGAGCATATCTGTTATTCTTTCATTTCNGGGGATGGTTTGATTCAGGTTCAGTTTCAATTTATTCTTTTTTTTTCGTACTCATACTACATGTTTGGAATTCTGCATCCAACTTGCTTATTTATGGTTAAGTTCTCTCTCTCGCTCTCTCCCTCTCCCTCCCTCTGTGTGTGTGTGGAGAAATGATATTTTAGGCTTTTAGCTGTGGCTTCTAGCAGAAAACTTTCAAAGAAAATTTAGATAGCTACTGTTATGATGACTGCTCACCTTTTGAGAATATATGGTGAGTTCAGGCATGTATGAGTGCGTAGATATGCAAGATATAATGAAAGGAGAGGAGATAAGAAAGGAAGCAAAGAGGGAAACATGGTAGAGTAGGAGATCTTTTTGGAGACTTTAGAACAGCTTGCTTTTTGGAGACTTTACAACCAATGGGGCTTTGTTGTTCTCCCTTGGGAGCAAAACATAAGAAGAGGAATCAAGCAGACTTTAGAAAAGCTTGCGTTCTGAAAAAGTGCATCTTGAAATTGAAATGCACTGTGTACAATATTGTCTGCTTTGGAATGGGACTGCATGAGTTTAGAACGTGGTATAGAATGAAAAAAAATAAACCTCGCACTTATAAAACAGTTCAAATGCATATACATCATTGAGTAATGTGAACACAAGTACATGGACTTGGTGCCCTTACTTCATCTATTACATTATTTGAGGCATCACAATCCACGCTCTTAGGGTCATACGTCCTCGTGTGGATGTAGGAGGCCCATCCCAGATTTCCGGGTGGTGCAACTTCAATACTGTTTGCAAGGTGCCGGACACTTCACTCTAGTTTATTTTTTGATCTGGACTAGACTCGCACTGGTTCAAATGCTTTGTACAACTCAGGTTAAAAGCTTACATATAAAGTACTTCACAGTACCATATATACCTCTTCAAGTGATGTGGGGCAAAGTATATGAAATTGATACCCTCACTTACCTTACCTATTTTGGTCCCTAGCCTCGAGAATCTTGGATCTTAGCTCCAGGTCTCCACTTAAAACCAAGGTGTTGATGATGAAGGACTAATAGTGGAAAAGTATTAGTTCCATGATGGCATTTTTGAATGGGCCATCCTATACTTGGTGTATTTCCTTCAAGCAAGTTATGAAAATGTTTTTTATTTCTATTTCCTTTTTATTTTCATGTCGGAAACCTTGGATGCACAGTTAATCTTTAGAGAGCTGCAGCTTATGTGTGCGGGAAAAAGAAAAGTTGGGGTGCTAGCTCGTAACTGTGGACACGCAGTGGATTAAATGCTACTATTTTGGAATTACAGAAGGACACAGAAGAAGAAGGGAAAAGTGTTTTTACTGCTTTTACTAGTCAAGAACTTCTCTGAACATAGTATACTTTTTGTTGTGGTGCATGCAGTACTGTGTTGAATGATTTTCAGGGTAGTTCAGGATTTTGTCTTTTGCTTATATCTAATCAAGACTTCATGCATAGCAGGCCGGTCGACTGCTAATTTAAATGAGACTAACTGGCACTGATTGCAGGGGCACAATTCTGTAGCATCTTTTGTTGGGATTGTTAGAAGGATAGAGCTTTCTTGTCCGGTGATTATGAGGAAAAGGTATCTACATCAAACTGCCAATCCATTTGATCAATATCGTAAGCACTAACTCCCAGCCTTTTTTGTTACGGACTTTTCATGTTTTTCTTCTCCCATGCCATGAATTTAAATTTATTTATCTATCTTCCCTATTTTTTCTGTAACTAGAACTGATTAATGGATTGTTCATTTTATATCTTTCCTAAATGCTGCATGCACCAAGAACTTTTTAAGCATTTCTCACCCTACTTCTTGAAATTACTCTGTTGAACCAACTTTATAATGTGAAACTGGTTATTAGACCAGATGGACCTTCTAACATGGCATGCTACAATTAAGATGTTCAGACCAAAAAATAAAACCCAAACTTTTAGTTTATAATAGCGTATGCAAAAGGTCCAACATTTACTCGCAGCTCGGAAATTCTGGTTCTTATGCATTTGACATTTGATTGGTTGGTTGACCCGGCCTTCAGTGTATTAGAGTTTCTTGAAATGCTCATTAATTTCCATATCACCATGATGGAAAAGTCACAAACTAATCACTGTGATGGACAACTCAATTGAACCTTTTCTATTTCTGTTATTATATGTCATGATAGGGGCCTTGTTTAACATAGTTTGGGGTCTGCTTGTCAACTACAACTACCTTCTTGTCCAATGAGGTTTTTAGTACCACGAGTCTTTCGGTCATTTGTCGGTGTAAGCAATCCCTCTTCTCTGTTTCACCGTATGGATTATCAATCTTTCAGTTTCGTTTCACAACTCCTTCTGTCTCCCTTAGCTCTGGTGGGCATGATTTTGTAATTTTTCTGGCCTTCCTTTGGGTCGCAATCTTAGCTTATCCGTGGCTTTTGCACTGGATATGTACATGTTTTTTTGACTCATGCAGTGGATAAGAAGCTTTTTTGATTTAAATTTGAACTCATTACCATGCACGAGTGACCTGGCGACACCATTACCCTCTTTTTATTTCACATATGGTGTATTGATACAGTTGTGAAGTTTACATCAGTTGACTTCAGCTTCTCCCTGGATTTGTGATGTGTATAGCAAAACTGAATTAATGGACGACCAGCTATGCCTTCCTGCTTTTAGCTTCTTCCTCCACTCACCTCCTACTTCATGGCAATTATGCCTGAAAAGCACCTAATTGCATGAAATGCTAGGACTCCAGATGATTTTGCTTAATGCTTCAAGTCTTTAGTGTGGCAAAGCCAATATAGAAAACAAAAGGGATTAGATACATATGTGGTTTCTGAGTGTGCCTAATACCGTTTTTTCACAATTGTATGTTAAAAGTGTTTTTCTTCTTGACTTGTGACTTCTTTGTTGATATGCTATCTGACAGCTTTTGAGACATTCTGGTGTGGCTCATGGCAAACCGTGGAGCGTTTGAGAATCAGGGAGGGCTCGATAAGCATTCATGTTGTAGATAATGGAGAGGTGATTGAGGAGAATATTCCTATGTCAAACCTTCGAATAAGATCAAGAAAAGCAACTTTGTCTGATTGCACCTGCTATCTAAGACCAGGAGTTGATATTTGTGTGCTTTCAACTTCTCAACATACCGAAAACCCAGATGACGAGGATAATCTGGATCCTGTAAGTACCGATTTATTTCCACTGGATGCAACAGTGCTGCGTGCTTCAAAGCATATTGTCATTTGACAGTTTCAATCACACTGCCAACAAGTTGAACTGCTTCTATACCATGCACAGCTGTTTCTGACTTTGACACATCTCCATTTTGTTAACTATCCAACAGCTAATGTTCTGCATAAAACTAAATGCTCCGGTATATTTCTTCATGTGATACCTTCTGATAGAACTGGATATTTCTTGTTTCTGTTAAAACTTGGGATATTAGTGTGCATGAAAAGGGGTGCACATGTATACACATAGTTTCATTTAGATGTGCATGGAAGAGTTACTTTATTGTCTGCCTAAAAATTTATATGGCGCAGACTTCATTGTCCATCTTTATCAGCCAACTCTCCCATTTCCATGTTTCCGTTTAGAGTTTACCCTCTTCATAGCTTCTTGAACTATATTTAGGGCCTCACCCCTCAGTTCAAAAGTACAGAGTTGTGGCATACGGCTCGGTCCCAGAATTAGGACCTCTCACCAAGGGGTCCACAAACCAATTTGTCCGTCCTTTCTATTTCTCGGTAAGTTGTTATGCTGTCTTGGGTCACACAAAAAATAGAGAAAGAATCTATTCTGATTCCTTGACATTCATCCATATGTCTTATGACATGACAGATGCTCTAAGTCACAGCGGGAAAGGCCGGAGACTTCCCTCAAATGGGGGATGTTATCNCTTGGGTCACACAAAAAATAGAGAAAGAATCTATTCTGATTCCTTGACATTCATCCAGATGTCTTATGACATGACAGATGCTCTAAGTCACAGCGGGAAAGGCCGGAGACTTCCCTCAAATGGGGGATGTTATTTCCTTGATAAAAAAAAATGAAGGGTTGCTTCTTGGATGTATTTGTAAATTGAATTGGAGCTTGGGTTAAGTTTTCGAAGACGATCATGAAGGAGATCTTAAGCTTCTTGCTTTCTCTCTCGAATTGAAAGATCTCTTATCTCTGTGGTGAGCGTGTCCACATAAACTCGTTTTCCTAATGTGGACACTAGATCCACGGTCCACCTCCTGATCTTTCACAAGGGCTAAGTAACCCCCTGGACGAGTTTGGGAAATATTAATATAGGTATCTAAAGATTCAAGTCGCTTCATTCAGTTAAATAAAGACCTTTTTCCTTTGGTATTCTCGATACTAACCTATTAACCTCTCACTTTTTCATATTTGTTTTAGCTTTGTTGAAAGTATAGAGCATGAACATTTTATGCATAGGTTCAGTTTCAAAATACAGAATTCGGGGTTGGGGAAATTCTCAAAAAACTTATTTGTTAGTGAAAGTCAAAAGAATTTTTACGAATTACTGATAATTTTCTATTTTTCAAATCACATAACAAGTCATATGACCACATGGAGAATAAGTTCTAAAATGCTGACTAAAAAAACAAAGGAACATGAATTTTTTCTTTTTATCAATTTGATTCTCCTGGCATCTGTAATCTGTCACCTTGCTCTAGCTGCTTTTTCACAAATTTTTTGACTTTTATCAATACTTCTAAATGGATCTGGGTTCTGTCAGAATGATTTTGATTATTTTAAGCTTATTTACCTGTTCTGTTTCTGATATAGGTCTGGCTTGATGCTAAAATAAGTTCTATTGAGAGGAAACCTCATGAAGTTAAATGTGCTTGCCAATTCTACATTAACCTCTATGTCACCCAAGGGCCGGCTGGTATGGCAAAGAAAGCACTTAGTAAAGAGGTAAATATGGTGCAAATTGATCAAATTTCTGTTCTTCAAAAGCTTCAACCAAAGCCTTGTGAGGATACCCACCACCGTTGGAGTTTCACTGAGGACTATACATCACGGAATACGTTTAAGTTGTTCACAGGAAAATTCTCCTCTGACCTTACATGGTTGGTTGTGGCATCTGTCTTAAAGCAAATTGTATTTGATGTAAGTTCCATACAGAACCAGATCGTCTATCGCATTTTGGATAGTGATGACATGTGTGCACCAAATTCCAAGAACCATTTAAAGGCTATAAATTTCAAGTTAGACAATGAAGTTTTGACCCCAATAATAGTACCATTTGTTCAAGATGATACTCAAGAGGAGGGACCTGGATGTGACCTGCGTGAAGATGGACCATTGTCCTCTCCTGATCTCATGGAGTTGAGGCGCTCAAAGCGTCGACTAGTGCAACCTGAGCGTTACTTGGGATGTGATAATTTGCAAGATTTGGATGTTGACACTTCTCGGATAGGGATACAAAAGACATACAAATGGGAATATGAAGAAATGCCATTGGCACTATCAGTCCAGGCCGATCATGCATATCATTCAGAGAATCATGGTGAGGGTGAAAATGGGGTCAAGCTTTATAAAAGCAGTATGCACGAAAATTTTCTTATACGCCCAAGTAATACCAAATCAAGGGAGGAGAAATCAATTGTCCTAGGTCAAGGAGAACATACTGATATTACTAAACTTGCTATAGTTCCTCTGCCTGCTGAAAGTAATCAAACAGTCCATCAAAGGGCTTCTCTTTATACTGAGATTCCTGAAGTTCATTCAGGAGAGATTGATAGGATCATTTCTAGTTATAGATACATAAATGGTTCAGCTGCAGCACATAGAAAAAAACCTTCTGAGGTGAACTCCATGGTGGTAGAAGATATAAAGGATGGGAAAAGTTCACATAAGAGATGCCGTAGAAAAAGGGATCGTTCAATGTTTTCAGAAAGGGAGAGTATCTATGATGTAAGATCCTTTAAGAATGGATCTTTGAGTGCAAATGTGTACAGGGAAATGATAAGAAGATGCATGAAAAACATAGATGCATCGATGAATCAAGATCAGCCATTAGTGGAGGATCAGTGGAAAGAGTTTCAGGCAGCAAGTTCAAACCAAAGGGATTGTGATGAGAAAACCTCAGTGACCACTGAGGACGAAAGTTCAGAGATTGAAATGTTGTGGAAGGAAATGGAACTCGCAATGGCATCAATATATTTTCTCGAAGAAAGTGAGGTAAGATTTTGAAATATTTCTCTTATCTGATTATTACCTGTATGAAGGTCGACTCAGTCCCTTCCTTGTTACTGGATTTTCGTGACCGTCGGATTTGCTATCTGCACGTTCTAATATTAGGACTGTTGTTTAGTAATTTCTAGAGCAGGAGAAGTGCAATCAAGCGATACCTATAAATAATAAGCTGACTCATTAAATAATTTGCATTATTTCCAAATTTGTATATTTCATAGAATCATAGCTGATGTATTTCTGATAATTTTATTTTCAGGATTCTCATGTTGAAGTCCCTGCCAACGGACAATGGTCAAGTAAACAAAGTGGACGGCCTTGTCGACATGAATATAAATTGAATGAAGAAATAGGAATCGTGTGCCAGTTATGTGGATTTGTGAGCATTGAAATAAAAGATGTCTCGCCTTCCTTTGTAAGTCAAATTGGGGAATTAAGAAATCAAGCATTTCACTCAATACAGTGGACTAATGCCTTTCATGTGTTAGTGGTTTCTCATAAGTGAATTATGCTGGCAATAAATGACATGTCCAAACTGGAAAATTAACTAAGAATAACTGAATAAATGATCCGACACATGGATTGGTACATTTCTTTGGCATGTCCATGTTTTATGGATGTCTTACATTTAACGTAAGGGCTACAAATTGTGTTAGGTTGACCTTTATCCTCAATCTCCTAGTTGGATCCGCACAGTGATAGTGTCCTACCTGTGCACATTCAACACATACCTTTGAGTGATTGGATGGCATATAATTCTTATCACCACCTCTCAAATCGTCTCTTGTTTAATTTTGTAGATGCCATGTACGAGCGGCAACACACACAAGGAACGAAGGACCGAAGGTGATTCAGAACACAAACCAAAGGATGATGGGGCCCTTGATATTTTCTGCATTCCTGCTACCTGCAGCACACCTTTGTCTGAAGGGGACGACAATGTGTGGGCCTTAATACCTGATCTTAAGGGTAAATTAAGATTCCACCAAAAGAGAGCGTTTGAATTTTTATGGCGAAACATCGCTGGTTCTTTGGTACCAGCACATATGGAATCAGAAAGCAAGAAAAGAGGTGGTTGTGTTATCTCTCATACCCCTGGAGCTGGAAAAACCTTACTCGTCATCGCATTCCTTGTGAGCTACCTGAAGCTATTCCCTGGATCAAGGCCTTTGGTTCTTGCTCCAAAGACAACACTCTATACTTGGTACAAGGAAATAATCAAGTGGAAAATTTCTATTCCAGTTTATCAAATTCATGGTGGTCAAACATACAGAGGTGAAGTCTCTAGGCAGAAATTGAAATTGCCCCCTGGGATTCCCCGCAACCTTGATGTTATGCATGTTTTGGACTGTCTAGAAAAAATACAGAAGTGGCTTGCACATCCAAGCGTCCTTCTCATGGGCTATACTTCATTCTTAACATTGACCCGCGAAGATTCAAAGTATGCTCACAGGCAATATATGGCCCAAGTGTTGCGGAAGTGCCCTGGGATTCTGATACTCGATGAAGGGCACAACCCCAGAAGCACTAAGTCAAGGTTAAGGAAGGCTTTGATGAAAGCAGATACAGGGTTGAGGGTTTTGCTCTCAGGTACTTTGTTTCAAAATAATTTTGGGGAATATTTTAACACGCTCTGCTTAGCAAGACCAAGATTTGTCAAGGAGGTGTTGAAGGAGCTGGATCCAAAGTTCAAGAGGAGAAAAAAAGGTGTCATAACACGCTTCTCTATTGAAAACCGAGCACGGAAATTTTTCATTGATAAAATTGGAAAGAAGATCGATTCCAATGTATCCAAAGAAAGATTGCAGGCTCTAAATAAGTTGAGGAATATAACAAATGGTTTTATAGATGTGCATGAAGGTGGAAGTTCTGACAACCTTCCTGGTTTACAGTGTTACACCTTAATGATGAAGTCAACCGCTCTTCAACAAGGGATTCTGGTAAAGCTTCAGAATCAAAGGCCTGTTTACAAAGGATTTCCACTAGAATTGGAGCTATTGATTACCCTTGGGGCGATACATCCTTGGTTGATCAGAACTACAGCATGTGCAAGTCAATATTTTAGTAAGGAGGAGTTGGATTCTCTTGAGAATTTCAAGTTTGACCTGAAGTTAGGTTCAAAAGTGAGATTTGTTATGAGCCTTGTGCCTCGGTGTCTCCTCAGGAAGGAGAAAGTTCTGATCTTTTGTCACAACATTGCTCCCATTAATCTATTTCTAGAGATATTTGAGAGGTTCTATGGCTGGCGAAAGGGTGAAGAAGTTTTGGTTCTTCAAGGGGACCTTGAACTCTTTGAACGAGGAAGAGTGATGGATAAGTTTGAGGAGCCGGGGGGTGCATCAAAGGTAATGCTGGCTTCCATTACAGCTTGTGCTGAAGGCATTAGTTTGACTGCAGCATCTCGGGTGATCCTGTTGGACTCGGAATGGAATCCTTCCAAGAGCAAGCAAGCGATTGCACGAGCTTTTCGGCCTGGTCAGGACAAAATTGTCTATGTGTATCAGCTCTTGGCCACTGGCACCTTGGAAGAAGAGAAACACAGTCGAACGACATGGAAGGAGTGGGTGTCCAGTATGATATTCAGTGAGGAGCTCGTGGAGGATCCATCTCATTGGCAAGCGCCAAAAATAGAAGATGAATTGTTGAGGGAGATAGTGGAGGAGGATCGAGCTACGNACACAGTCGAACGACATGGAAGGAGTGGGTGTCCAGTATGATATTCAGTGAGGAGCTTGTGGAGGATCCATCTCATTGGCAAGCGCCAAAAATAGAAGATGAATTGTTGAGGGAGATAGTGGAGGAGGATCGAGCTACGTTGTTCCACATGATAATGAAAAATGAGAAAGCTTCAAATGGGTTGATGAGAAGCAAAGTATGACCTCCCTATGACAAATCCAATTACCCTCACATGTAAGAACTTGACCTCCTTTTATTTATCCTGTATTATTGATTTAGATCATCGAGTTATGTGGCCATCTAGAGTTTACAAATAAAGGGGTTTGTTATTTTTCGATGAATTTATGTGCACACAACTATTAGGAAAAAGGTTTAGTATGATAAAAGTCACATCACGATACTCAGCATGAAGATAGTGAAAACAGAGCAAACAACAGGTATAGAGATTACTTCAAGTGGTTGCTGAAGTATTGAATGCTTAAATCTTAGGGAAAGGTTTTTTTTTTTGTATGAATATAGTCTATTTTGGCATTTAACACTACGGATGAGTTGGAGATTTTCATCTGCTTTGCCCTGTGGTATCCTTGGGGGGATAGATGGAGAAAATTTTCATTGAACGATTGTCACCTATCAATTTGTCAAATTATTTTGAAAAAAAAAATTCAGCTTTTGTCTGACAAACTAGTGTTATGACAGCTTGTCATTGAGTCCTAGCGCTATTGTATAACTTACTGAAATTTTTTCTGGGAGAGACTACAATAGATAAAAGAGGATTGTTTGGAGAATAAAGTTTCCTCAGAGTCTACATATGAATTGGACCTTTGGGAGATTGCAACCTTTTGGATCCTGCCCCTGTACTTAGGTCGACCTGCTTATCCCTAAACAAGCCAGAGACGTCTTCCTTAGAGTCTNTTTTCTGGGAGAGACTACAATAGATAAAAGAGGATTGTTTGGAGAATAAAGTTTCCTCAGAGTCTACATATGAATTGGACCTTTGGGAGATTGCAACCTTTTGGATCTTGCCCCTGTACTTAGGTCGACCTGCTTATCCCTAAACAAGCCAGAGACGTCTTCCTTAGAGTCCTTTTTGTACTCTCTTCAGCCCCTCTCAAACTTAGACAATGGGCTTGGTTTAAGAATAAGAAAAATCATGTTTAAACATTAGGATGTTCAAAAAGAGTATTTCAAGTGGTAACAGTGATGAATTATAAACTTAAACATTTTGAGTTCGAATTTTGGCTATTTCTTGGCCCGCCAGACCAAGATTATAAAGATTTTTTCCCTCATAAATATCATAGTCTCGAAGGGATGGTCTAATTTTGATCAGACCAGAAAGAGAATTAATCAAGACCCGGACAGCCCTGACCAAAAATGACCAGATCAACAGCAAATCAGTGAATATGATGTCAGCGTGAAGGGATTAAGTAAAGATTAAGTACTCTTTCCTTATAGAATCCTCATTGAGCAAATTTAATCCAAACATCCCTCCTTACCGCATGGGAGCCTCTCTCTCTCTCTCTCTCATGTCATTGGCCCTGTCAGTTTGATTTCATTGACTGGTACTTCCATATATCCATATTTAACATGCATGTTGGTCATTTGAGTGAACAAGGCTGGTATAAAGATAATGAGTTTTTTCAGATAAGAATATAAACATTCCAAGGACTAACACAAAAATGGCCAGTTTTTTAAATATCTGTTTTAAATTGGTACCATTATGCATGAAGTGATGTTTCTAGTACTACATACATACAGTGCATGATGGACCAGGCAAATTATATATATTTATGGAAGAATAAAAACATTGTTGCCCACTTGCCCTAAGCAAGGACGAAACCAGAACAAACTTCAAAATAGAAGTAGGAGGCAAATCCAAATGCTAGTAGAAAATATAAATACTCAAAGGGGTTCCAAAAAAATTATATAAAACTTGTTTGTGACAAATGTAATATTTAAGACATGAGGCCCACCCCTTTTCCCTATCATAGTCCTGCTGCCATTGCTTAAGGTACTGATATCCCTTTGTGCATTAGGGAACATAAAATATTCTTCTTGCTATGTCCCTTAAGATGATTGCTAATATGTCAATCACCAAAGACCTAATGTTAACTGAAAAAAAGTTAATAATTGGGTNTATGTCCCTTAAGATGATTGCTAATATGTCAATCACCAAAGACCTAATGTTAACTGAAAAAAAGTTAATAATTGGGTATAAGTTATCTTTAGAGAACTTAATATGAATTAAGTCCATCACTTAAACAAACTTGATCACTTAAACATACTTGGTGTTACGTCCTATTATTATCGTTTTAGTAGTTAAGTTCAATTTTTTTTATTAAGTCTAAAATGCCCTTCTATGATACCGGAAAACAGTTATCCCTTAATTCACGCTCAATGAAGATCTGTCAATAAATTTTTTTCCATAACATTTAAAATTAAAATTCAAATTCATCATTATTCTTCTGGTAATACTTAACTAAACTTATGAGAGAGAGATTGAAATGATAGTGTCTCAGTTCATCCATGGCCTTTGCTCACTATTTACTAGCCGTGCCTTCGAAACATTAATTTCTCACAAAACATATATTCTCACTCCCTCATTATTACCATCGCTATCACCATCGGCTTGTTCTTCTTTTTCTTCGTCTTATGGCTCTGTATTTTCAATAGCATTATCTTATTCTTGTTCTTCTACTCATTCTTCTCTCAAGTCAAAGGCTCGTAAACTCTCTATCAATCCCAACCTCTACACAATCGGACACAGAGGTCATTTCAATTTTGTACTATTAGTTTTTGTTGTTTTACTTGTTTTCTGCTTGTAGTTCTGGTTCGGGGGATTTCGGGTTCTCAGCCTACTCAAAACCGTTTGTCTTCAAGAATTGAGACTCTTATTCAATCGCTCATGAGCTTCTGCCGGATCGACTGGATTCCATTTTCATCGGTGGCATTGGAATATTTAGGTCTGATCAGTTGGGTTCGGGCTTTGTTCCAGGCGGTTAAGACTGTTGGAATCCGCGGCTTTGAATGGTGATTATATACGACGATCACCGGAATGTTGAGATTTCTTTTTTTTTTTTTTAATGTAACTATTTTTTGGTTTGTTAGTAAAACTTTTAAAATTTAAGAATTTTTAGTTTTTAAATTTCTTTTAATTAAATATAATTATTTGTGATATTTTATACAATGTAGATTGAAATAAATTTTTTCTCATACTAAGTTTTTGAGTGCTCTTAAATTCAAATAAATCTTAAAAAAAGGGGTCTCAATGAAATTTTCAATAAGACGCTACGACCTTTCAAGCATTTTATTCACGAGAAAATATTTATTATAACGGTGATATTACATGATAATATGACGTGGTATTATTTATTAATAATAAAATCTCGAATAAAAAAATGAACTCCATAAAAATTAATAACTAATATACCACCTAGACAAATAACTTCTAGTAATGCTATGTTGACCAAATTTTAAGACTAAATTTGGAGTCAAATGACTCATTCTTCTTCCATATAAGCTCAATTGAGATTTATCTTACATACTTGGAGTTTTATTATTGGTTAATAATACCATGTCATCAATACTAGTATAGTATCACTATTGCACTCCTCACTCGTAAACGAGCACGAGAGACCAAAAAAAAAAAAAAAACCTTATTACTACTGGGACTAAAATGATAAACTAGATAACCCTTAAGGGTGCTCTAGTAGTTTAGTCCGATTTTTGGTAGTTGAGATGTCTTAGGTTTAATCTCTTTTCACATTCTCTAAGGGTTAATTATCCTTATTCTTTTAAGAACATGTTTTAGACCAGTTTAAATCACGATGACCAATCGTTGAATTCAAAAAAATAATCGACACAAATCTTAACACCCCCGTAACCTAAAAAAAAAATGAAAAACCAAAATATGTTTGTCTAATACTTCGATTTTGTTGAAACGACATTTGACCCTATAAATATTAAGATACATCGTGAATCCAACTACCATGATGGATTTTGATCTTCAAATTTAATTGGTAAATTTTGCGCAAGTGACATTACAAACATGTGTTTTTATTTATTTTTTATTTTTATTAACTTTTATGAATGAATGTTTGTACTAATAAATATAATATGCTGGCCTTAATAGCACTCTCCCTCTCAAATATTTTTAAATTTTGCCACTACTTGCAGTCTAGCTCTTATCTCCACTCATGACCTATGTGATGTAGGTTATGAGGTGATATTATCATTAACCTGAACATTTTCTCATACTAAGGAACTCAAGGGCTGTAATTACCAAAAAAAAAAATATATTTTTTTTTGGTGCATTGACTACCTAGGAATATATATATATATATATATATATAAAGATAAAAATAATTAAAGAAGATTAATGTGTCTATAATGAAAATCTTGTTTCTAAAGAGACCTATTAGAACTATTCTACATGTGTTTTAAATAAGATAGTATTGTTGGATAAAAAAAATTTAGAAGAGTAAAGCAAGTGGCAGTAAATAAAGAAATATATACACACACACACACACGTGAGACAGAGAAAGAGAAAGAGAGAAGGAAGGAAAAGAAGAACGAAAAAGAAAAAAAAAAAGATTTGACCCGTTGAAGGTATGAATTCATTAATTATTTCATGAGTTTTATATTCTATCCAATTACATGATATTAAGTTTATTATAAATAGTGATAATGAATATAAATATTGATAAACAATATTGAGGAATATGTAAATGAGTTTTATTAAAAGTTGTCAATTTAGGTGTTTTTAGATCTAATTTAGATTGATTAGTCTCAAAGCTTTTAAAAAATTTATTTAATGTATTAAATAAAAAAAAGAGAAGCAAAAAAGAAAGCACAAGAGGAAGAAGGAAGAAAGTTACTTTGGGTGGGTGGAGAATATGAGTTTCTTAAAATTATAGTTTCAAAGAATTTTATTTTGATCTCTATATTCTTCTAAACTTAATTTTAGTCATTGTTTTACTTGGTAAGTTAGAAGAATAAAATTTTGGAAAATTTATGGCAGCTCTGAAAACAGAAAATTCGTTTTTCAAAAAAATTACACTTTTATGCCAAAAGTTTTAAAAATTATAATTTAATGCCAAAACTTTAGAAAGTTTTTTTGAACAGCTCATACTACTTCTATACCCTATTACCTCATATTAGAAAGGATATTTATATGTAAAGTATATATATTAATTATATATCAATGGGTAAGAAGTACATAAATTAAATATAGAATTTCGAAATAATGAAATTAGGAATAAGGATTGATCGTTATATGTTATTTTGGATTATGTGGTAATTGCATTGATGTTGAGAAAGAGGGTTTTGAATTAGATTTTGGGAATCAGGGTGAGTAGTTTACTACTTATTTTGGTAGGATTTTTTATATTAAATGTCTGAGTGCATGCGTGTGAATTTTTCACATATATGATATATGTGTTAATATTTGAGATTGCAATTAAATGTTTTACAAATATGAACTATAATACATGTGAATGTTGAAAAACTTGTAAGATAATTTTATATCATTGCTTTGGTGATGAAAGAGAAATTTTGTGTATTTTGTGACTAAAACTACAGTTTTGGTGTGTGTGAAAATCATATTTTTGAGACGGAGACTGAGTTACCAGATCTAAATGGTAATAAGAGACTGAGTCAAATACCAAGCTAGTGGTAACAGGAGATGGGGTCAGTTACCAGGGTAGTGGTAACAGGAGATGGGACAAGTTATTAGACTAGTGGTAACAAACATGATTTTACAAATGTATTTATAACTGAATGCGTGTGTGAGTGTTTTGAGTTATAAATGTCTTTTCATTTATAAAGTTATTTGTGAAAATAAGTGGTATTTTTGGGTTATAAATGACTTTTCATTTATAAAGTTATTTGCGATCATGAGATCATTTTGTTTAAATAATTACATGGGAGGGGTTGAGATACAATTTGTTGTATTTATGAGTGTATCAAAGTTTATTTTTGTATATAAACTGTGAGATTTATGTTCACACCTCATTAGAAGTGATTATTATTCACGGGTCNATTTTTGTATATAAACTGTGAGATTTATGTTCACACCTCATTAGAAGTGATTATTATCCACGGGTTATTGTACTCATTCAAACATTTAACATTTTTCAGGTTAGGATCAGGATGAGGAGTAAGTGTACAAATAAACAAGGAATTATAGGACTTGAAGATTTATTTTAATATAGGTTTTCAGGAATAAAATTCTTTTATAGTTTCGATACAAATGTTTAATTATTTTGGGAATAATATTACTAATATTTAAAGTAGTGAACCTTATAGTTTGATTATTATTTTACATGAATTTAGTAGTGATATTGACGATATTTAGTTTATTTCTTTGATATTCATTAAATCGATAGAATACATCACTCTATTATTTATCTTCTGCTATATTTTATATTTATCGTACATATAATTAGTTAGTTAAGATCTTAATGATCGGTCTATCGCTCACCTTGTGTGATCCAGGTGGAGTGTGACAATCCATGTAATAATATTGGGAAATGAAAAGGGTGTATTTAACTACGACTGCGTCCAAAGAAGTTGCAAGTTGATGATCCACTTGCAAGTCGGTCGTAATGATCCGTATCTTTTTCTCCGGTCTAAGACTCTAAAAGGTTTTCTCCGAGGAATGTTCAAACTACTACAAGTGGACAATGGTTTCTCCTTCTCTCTCTAAACCTATGTTCGTATTTATCTCAAAACCTCTAAACTCTAAGTCCACTTTTTGAACAAGAGACCAAGAGAGAGCAGAGAGAGAAAAAGAAAAGCATGCCTTCAGCTCTACAACTCCACAGAATCACCACCAACCCCAATACCACCACCAACCCCAATACCACCACCATCATGGTGAACTATCAAAAGCAATCCCAAACCATCTGCAAAATACCTATATCTATTCAAGTTCCTGATTACATATTACACCACCACACCCACCTTGTTGGGCCAAACCAATGCTGCTCCGCCGTGGTCCAGACCATCGCCGCCCCAGTAGCCACCGTGTGGTCCATCGTTCGCCGTTTTGACAACCCACAAGCTTATAAACATTTCCTCAAGAGCTGTCACATGATCTCCGGCGACGGGACTGTTGGTTCTCTCCGGGAAGTCCAAGTGATTTCCGGTCTCCCTGCCGGTTATAGCACGGAACGCCTTGAAATTCTTGACGATGAACGACATGTTTTGAGCTTCAACATCGTCGGCGGCGATCATAGGCTTAAAAATTACAGGTCCGTTACCACTCTTCACCCTATGGCCTGTGGTTCAGGGACGGTTGTGGTTGAATCGTATGTAGTTGATATTCCACCTGGTAACACTAAGGAGGAAACTTTTGTGTTTGTTGATACGATTGTGAGGTGCAACTTGCAGTCGCTGGCTCAGATTGCCCACAACTTGGCCAAGAATAACTGTAATCCATCCTGACTTTTGTGTCTTCATTGATTTTATTTTGATACTTTTTTTTTTGTCTCATTTTGTTTTGGAGAGTATTGGGTAAGAATGGGTAAATGAACTCCATTTTTTTTTTTTTGGAATATGCAACGGTTATTATGTTATATGGAGGTTTGAATTTGACGAAATGTGGTCTATTTTGTCTAATTGTTGAGTTATATTTGGACTACGGTTACATCCCGTTATAATGTTAACGTAGTGTAATTGTTAGAACTAATATTTACTTCTTATTTTATGGGTTGGAACTAGTACTGCTAATTAAATTGAGTTATTTGAACTTGGCTCGGGTCTGGTTCGTTTTTTATTTGTTCAAGCAGTGTAAGCTCGTTTAGAAAATCAGGTCGATAGATTCGGCTCGAACTCAATAGGCTCAATTCGTTTATGTGCAAATATTCGAATTCAGCTCGGTTTCGGTTCGTTCAGGCTCCGCTCCTTTTTTAAATAAGTCGAACTTGAACAATTTTTTAAACTCGGTTAAGAAAGCAGATTTTTTTGACTCGGCTCCTTTACCATGTAAATTGATTATTTTCTTCTATTACTTAAATTTACATGGTATTTTGTAATAATGATCATTCTGATCATATGATATTTGTCTTTGTAACTTTTTAGACAATTTATATGAAAATTGTGCCTCTGTGACTTGATCAGTCTATTGTTTTCTTTTTATTTATGTTTTATTTCCTTGGGGATTTTCTTCATCATTCTGCCATCTCCCAAAAAATAAAAAAAAGTTTTTGGTTCTTCATTTTTAGCTTAATTATGATCCAAAAAACTAATATTTTAATCATTCCCTTCCATGGAATTGTGGAATTAAAAGGAATTAGTGTTTGTACTTTTACTTCTAGTTTTCTCCATACATTTTCCTCCATACTCTTTGAACAACTTGAAGCATATCCGATGTTAATGTACTCGAACTCTTTATACAAATGGTGGAAACTCCTCAAGAGAATATACTAAGAAACATAAAAGTTCTCGTCCAAAATGAAGGAAAATAAAGACAAGTCTCTTTAAATGTATTGAAAGATCCGTTATAGACAAAATTATTGAACAAGCNCTCTTTATACAAATGGTGGAAACTCCTCAAGAGAATATACTAAGAAACATAAAAGTTTCCATCCGAAATGAAGGAAAATAAAGACAAGTCTCTTTAAATGTATTGAAAGATCCGTTATAGACAAAGTTATTGAACAAGTGATTGCAGACCAATGAGTTGTGAGGGGATTCTTGTTCTTTTGGTCTATATTTGTTATTCATGAGAAAAAAATATTTGATTCATAATCTCTTGGATGTGAGAGGTGTAATTACTTAGTCTCTCGGATTGTGATGGCATTTTTTTTCCTAATCTGATGGGTTTTTTTTCCTTGTATAATCGCTATCCGAGTATATGTCCGGGTTTTATGGGACATTCCTTGAACTATGTTGTATGCAGTGGCGGAGCCATTGCCCCCCTCAACTTTTTAAAATTACATATTACACCCTTAAAATTATATTTTGGTTATATTTTAAATGTTACTCAAATTCTTAAAATTATAATTTATACATTAAATTATAATCTTGATTGATTTTATTTTATCATCTTAACTATTGATTATACTACTTTAAACCATTAATTAATAAAATTGTGACAATTTGCATAAGGAATTAAATTGTATTGTNTAAATGTTACTCAAATTCTTAAAATTATAATTTATACATTAAATTATAATCTTGATTTTATTTTATCATCTTAACTATTGATTAGACTACTTTAAACCATTAATTATTAAAATTGTGACAATTTGCATAAGGAATTAAATTGTATTGTAGAAATTTGTAAATTTTAGACTATTTTGAATTATCAATGGGGCAATTGATTTGACTATTACATCTAATAATTCAACTAGTTTCAATTAACTATATTCATTTTATTAAAAATAATAATTTATACTATGACATGTGAGATTGATTCTTATATATTTTATGTGTATAAATGTCATAACTTTTAACGACCTAATTGAATGATCCACGTTGAATAAAAATATCTTTTTATACTACTATTTGGTCTTCTCGAAGCANACCTAATTGAATGATCCACGTTGAATAAAAATATCTTTTTATACTACTATTTGGTCTCCTCGAAGCAGAAATTCTGGCTCCGTCCTTAATTGTATGCCCATTGTTTATGTTTTTTTTTTTTTTGAATCAAATATTATTATTATTTTTTTTTTTTGCAAGTTTCTATTGAGACTATCATCTCTTCGTGATGAGCAGTATTAGGGCACGAGCACAGAGAATTCAAATGCTCCATTAAGATACTAGAGGCAATGATGATGAATTGGCAAGTTGGTTTGCAAGTTGTTGAGCACCCTTTGTTTGAATTCATCATTTTTTAACTTAAATTACTCAGACCGGAACCTGAAACTTTGGCTTCATTCGACTCCTTTATGAAAGATGGATAAACTGGTAAGTATTAGAATTGATNTGTTTGAATTCATCATTTTTTAACTTAAATTACTCAGACCGGAACCTGAAACTTTGGTTTCATTCGACTCCTTTATGAAAGATGGATAAACTGATAAGTATTAGATTTGAATGAGTTTTTGAATGGATCTTTCGTATATAATTTTATATGATTTCAAATGTCAGCAGTGACGTAAACTAAGTAAGACCATGAAAAAAAAAAAAGTTTTTAGATTCTTGTTTATATAGAATAGTATAGGTAAATGTGATAATTTTAATNTTGAATGGATCTTTCGTATATAATTTTATATGATTTCAAATGTCAGCAGTGACGTAAACTAAGTAAGACCATGAAAAAAAAAAAAAAGTTTTTAGATTCTTGTTTATATAGAATAGTATAGGTAAATGTGATAATTTTAATTCATTACTCATTAACTCATCTAATTCATCTATAAATTAACGAATCGGGTATCTATATTAATTAATGTGAGTGCTAAATGAGTTGGGTACTACGACTCATTTTAATTAAGCGGAATAAAATGAATTACAAACAAGTATTCATTGGGTTAAATATTTATTTTTTTATTAAATAATNATCTATAAATTAACGAATCGGGTATCTATATTAATTAATGTGAGTGCTAAATGAGTTAAGTACTAAGACTCATTTTAATTAAGCGGGTTAAGATGAATTACAAATAAGTATTCATTGGGTTAAATATTTATTTTTTTATTAAATAATAAAAAAATATAATTAAATAAACACTAATATACTAAAAAATATACATACATACATTAATATAAACACACGCACAAAATAGTACACCACAATACACATACTCTAATACACAGTGGCAAAGTCAAAAATTTTGTTTAGAGTAGACACCATAACTATAAACTTATTTTTTTTCACTTGCTAAAAGTAGCATAAAATATTTAAATTTATTATATTATATTTGATACTCAAACATGTAATAGATACAAAATGGTTCAATATCGATATGCATAGAATATACAAAAAAATTAATGGAAAGAGGCTAATTATATTTATTTACGATTGATTTCAATGAGTTTTCATACTTTAAAGATGTTGTATGATAACTTCATTATCGATACTATGAAGAATATAATTCTCTATATAAATAATTAACTCGCTCTGTTGATTATGTAATTTAATCCTCACAATTTTCATAACTTAAAAAAATAAATTCGATATATCAAAAACTTATCTAGACATATCTGTAAGGTATAAAGTGTGTCAAAAAATTCATAATTAATTAAGTATTTGTCTATACTATTTGATAGAATAAAAAATTAATAGATTGGACATAAAATATATATGATGGACACTATAAAATATACCAAAAAATTTTAAACATATATAGGTAATAATTTTTTTTAAAAAAAATTTAAGGTGTGCTTTTTTACCCATTTTTTAAACAGATTGAAAATGAATGAATTTGTTTTACCTTCAATCCATAACCAACCCAACCCACCTATTTATTACCTCTATATATAGTTGCATATCCATCACTTGAGCTTTGAACTTATTCCAAGAATTAATTTCAAGAGACACTATAGAGGCAAGTGCTTTACATGTAATCTCTCGGGTTGTATGAGAGTTGTGCAGCCTTTTAGCACATGTGTACTAATTTAACTATCATAATACTAGTCCCTAAAGCCCCAAAGCCAACTGCTATTGGAGATTTTAGGCGTATACCATGTTGCAACACATTTTATCACAGCAGCTACCTGTTACAGCACTCGTCCAACCGATTTAAACAAGAAAATCAAGTTCATCTTCTAGAAAGTATAAATGCAATTTTTTTGCCGTATTCACTTTGCAACATGAGTAATAATATAAGTTAAATACTAATGTTATTGGNAGTTCATCTTCTAGAAAGTATAAATGCAATTTTTTTGCCGTATTCACTTTGCAACATGAGTAATAATATAAGTTAAATACTAATGTTATTGGGACATAATTTTTGTTTCCATTATTTTCTAAGTATTTTTGTTTAAGTAGCATTTGTTTTATATATCCGTGTATCTACTTTTCGGTAATCTATTTTTTCTTCCTTCCTCCAACTTTATATTGCATGTATTGTAATGTAGGTGGGGAGTCGAAGAGGTTAACACACGTATCTGATATCAATGTATTCAAAGGGATGAGTAGGATAAAACGATGTCATNCTTTATATTGCATGTATTGTAATGTAGGTGGGGAGTCGAAGAGGTTAACACACGTATCTGATATCAATGTATTCTAAGGGATGAGTAGTATAAAACGATGTCATGAAATGACTCGAGCTATCTATTTATTGTTGAGATCAACTTTTAAGCAAAAGGTTCATCAAGTAGGTAGAGTCAATGAATATCATATCAATCGGAATGTCTATCTCATACAAGATATGTGTACTGTAGGGGCAAGTAATGAAGGTATTTATAGCACAGGTATTCAGGCAATCGAGATTGCCCTACGGAATGTCTGTAACTGACTCTGTACAAGAATCAACGCCATACGTGACAATTGTGTCAACCTACAATTGTCTCGGCAACTTTTTGTATGGAGGGTCGCCCATTGCGCATTAGGTGTCATATGCATTAATTAGACAGATGTAATCTCTTTGGATACAATCTAGACTTGGCCCCCGAGGAAGAGGTACATTATTCGAGGTGAGGGGGATACCATAGGTAGAAGGGTTGTGATTGGGTCGCTGTAGGAGCAAGACTGTGGAAGGGTTATATCCTCAGTGCACTTAGTGAACGCGCACCATAGTGCTCCTTTTTCACTTCGAAACCCCTTTCGTGGCCCTTGTCCAAGTTGTCCTATTTTGGTCATCCAGTGAGTAATGAACCATACACTAGAAGGTCTGCTCGAGTAAATTAAACCTTCGAAATACTGTCCGATGATGAGATTGACAATCCTGTTCATTCGCCTCTATTGTTCGATTTTCCCTCGAGGATCGAGTCATATTATTATATTTCAAAGCAAGACCTCTCCTCTTAATCCCTTGGGTTAGTCGAGCAACGATGTACCATTGGTCGACTTTACCATAGTAGGCATCCAATAGGTTCTAGGTTCTCTCTAAAGGTCTCGTTTATGAGGGTAGCCCTCGAGGCTTTGCTAGGGATACACTTTTTGCGAGACCCCAGCTACATCCATTCACTTCTGTAGTGGGGGAGGTAGATTGTGTAGATCGGGCCAAAATTGCCTCAGACTTCCGCGGCAAGGAGGTTGTGCCATGCTTCTTCACAATGTTGGATACCCTCTTCAGTTAATGTATGCCTTCCATGGTCACTGGTCATTTACCACGGCCTTTGCCCTTCGTGGGCGGGTCTGTCCTACCATGTCAGCTCGTGGTCCTTCCTTAGTCTTGCGACGTGTTTGTGGTTAGTACACATGTCCAGATTTTAGAGGCTACTACACGTAATAACATATACAAATAAATGAATGTATTATTGGTAAGCTAAAATTCATATAAATCAATTTATTAAATACAAATCAAAACATTATTTATTTTTTTATGAATTGTTCTTCGGTTAAAAAAATTACTAAAAAAAAAAAGTTACCAAACCGTAGTCAATATTGCTAGGGGCTTCCTCCATCATGACCATCAAGGATAGAAAAGCTTGGTGAATAACAACTCGTTCCAAGTATCTTGAACCCCAGGGAGACACCAATGCCAGCAATCAGCATATCCAGCAGGGTTTGCTCTCTTCTCAGGGGTCAATGGGAGAAGCTGCTTCTTGTATATTGAAGTGTGTGCGTCTTTACGGTAACTCGATAGCTTTGTGATGTTGAGAAATGTTATGGGGACTCTCGAGCTTCCAAACACTTCTCCGATCACCTGCATTATGCTTTTCCGAGTGTCTGATCCCCAGTATGTGGGGTTTTCTATCATTGTTGTTTCATTGTAGCAGTTTCCGTTTGGACTGCCTCCCCAATCTGTGCTTCTGTCAACAATAGAAGATTTGTTCACACTTAGTGTTCTTGACAAATTTGAATGATTAATCCTCCACACCATGACCTGCCAAACTTTTCCCATTTCAATCCCCTCCTATAAATTTTTTACAAGTTGTTTGTATGATTCCCGCTATAAATTCAAGTGAAATCTATTATAGATTAGCAAATCGCTCACAGAAATTTGGTGGTGGTGGTTTAGTGGTGAAGTTATTATTCTGTCTATACAAATATTGAGAATAGTGACGGTGGTGGTGGTTGTGATGTATGTGATTTTGGTGGAAGTGAGATTGGGTTGGTTTTAGAGTGTTCAGTCGTAGAAAAAGTCTCTTTGCACTCAGGAAAGAAGTAACAAGGCTCGTCCACTGGTTGTTCTATTATGTATAGGTATGTAAAAAGTAAGGATAAATTCAGTATTTGGGAAAAAATGAATAACAAAATACTCACATATTATGAGAAGGTGACATACTGGTGAAGAAGACTCTAGTCTTCTTAAGGTCCATGTTCTTGTCTACCCATCCCAACATATCGTTCATTGCCATACGATAAGCATCCTCTGTTGATAGCACTTCAATGTCTTTCACTTTATCCTCGAATGAACCTTTCCTGCATCAAGACAGTCCATGAGCCCTTGCTAAAAAGAAGTAGGAGAGAGAAACTAAGGGTGCACCTTGGGTGGATTGAGAAGTCACTCAAACTCTAAAACGATCAATCCAATTTAAATTCTAACCCGAATATATTGTCTAGTAAAATTCTGGTTTGATTCTTGGGTTTGAATTTAGTTTGAACTCGGGTTAACAACTCCGTCTAGAATGCAATTTGAACTCGAATTTGTTAACTTGAGTTCAATTCCAAAACTCCAATCCGATTATTGGTCAAGTTGAGAAAAGATTGGAAATTTTTTGTCCAAACTCAACCTGAGTAGTAAAATCTTTCACTCAAGTACTAAATAGTTTGATTGAGCTTGGACCGAACCGCCAAGTTACATCCCCAAAAGAAATGGAAAAAAGGGAAATTCTATAGATCCCAAATTTCAGATCCAGGAATTCTTGAATGAGGGGTCCTTCTGAAAAAAATTTCAATTTCAATGGAACACACTCACCCAGAGGTAGGGCAGATAATTAACTGAGCTTTGCAAGTAAAAACGAGCATAAAAAGTTATTTAATTTTAGCTCGTTCAAAAAATAAGCGGAGCATGCGCCGAGCCCAAAACGAGCCGAATCAGAGCTGAGCTTGAATAGTTCGACTATTAGACATATAAACGAATTGAATTTGAACAATTTTTTAGATTCATTTAAAAAACGAGACTAAAAAGTTTAACTCCTATCTTGAGTCGAGTTTTGTCGAGCCGAGTTTAAGTCGAAACCAAGTAACTCTAGTCAATTATCAGGCACATCCAGAGGTTCAGAACCATTTGGAAATCCCTAGCATTAAAAAAACAAAACTTTATTTGACTAGGGCTGTAGGACAGGAACTTACAAAATCTTAAACTTTAATCCTGTCAGCCACCACACATAGGTATCGAACACCATAATATCAACTCCTTTCCAATTCCTCCCATGCTTATTGATCGACCCTTTTCTAACAGTTCTATCAGACATCCTGTGAACATCAGCATCGTCGGCGTTTGATTCAAGAAGAAACGGTGCCCAGTAGTATTCAATCGTTGCATTGTAATCCTATAAACACAACAAGGAAATTAAAGTAATTGAAAATCTCAATCACAAGTGTTTGATAAGTTATTTATTTTTTCTCAAAGTAAGTGTTTGATAAGTTGATATGAAGCTACAGAGACAATTTGTCAAATACCTTGGCTGAGAAAACAGTTAGAGAACCATTTTTATGCATGGATTTAGCATGTTCTGGGATGATCGACTGGAGAAGACAGACCATGGAGAGAAACTGGCCACGGTTTAGTGAATCGCCGACGAACATCATTCTCTTCCCTCGAAGTGTTTCCATCATCAATGTGGCATTGAAGCTGTAAGATTGGTGGGAACGAACATCAGGTTCTGCTCTCCAACCATTGTAGAATCTCGTATTCATGCACAACATTTAAAAGAATAACTTTTGAAGGTGTCAAGAAGCCTTAAACTCATCCAACACCATTTTTTTTATTCTTCTCATATTTTTTCTTAAGGGTCATGTAAACCCCAAGAGGTAGCTAACAAGAACATAATATAAACCACACTCATCTTCAATTTGAATTTTAATAATATTTTGGAGTCAGGTGACGAGAGATTTATCTATTAAGAATACTTTAGTTCCGACATGATTTGTTTTTGATCAAATTTAAAAAAAATTAATCGAAATACGCGTAAACTGGTCCAGACTCCAAACATCTTAACTGTTAAACCAACAAAAAACTAGGGTCATGTACATAAGATGCCAATGGACACATATAGAAAGAAAAAAAAAAAGAAATAAGAAGAGATTAGTGTATATAGATAAATTTAAATGGTTATGAGTGATTAAGTGTAATTGATAAAGTAATTAAAAAAAAGTTTTGTCCAATTAAAGTAAATGAAATAAAGAATATTATAGACATTTTTTATGTGGACACTAAACCCGGCCCTCTCCTTTTATTAATAGTATGAATATACAAAAACATATGCAAGAATAGTTGTTAAAGGATTATATACCCTCTAGTAATATCAAATAGAGAGCTAACCAAAAAAAAATAATCAAATAGAGCAATACTATAGGAAAATAAACTGAATATCTGATTTCTTAAACGAGTAATATTATAACTAGTAATTTAATTCATCTAGACATATTATCCACATGTCTAATTGCTCTACATTTACTTATATTTCACTTATTTGAATAGGAAAAATAATCAAATTCGACTTCCAGATTCACATAATCACCCAAATACCATCTAAAAAATATAGAGTAGTTTTAAGAACATTTTAACATCATGTCCCAGTGTTGGTGTGAAAGTTTGTGTCTGAACTATACTCAACTCAACTCAACAAGTCCTTGTCTTAATATTTTCAAGGTCGATTACATGAATTAACTAGAGAGAAAAAATTAGAAGTAATGGGACCTAGTACTGAAAGAAAACTTGCTGATTATGGTAGTGAAAACAATGGGTTATTTTTGTTACAATGAAATAAATGTAGTGGACCTTGGGACAGAACAACCATGAGGCTGCCATCTCCAGTACTGGTATTCCTTATCAGGTCTTCCGTGTCCTCGACATGTCACCTGTGGTGGTAGGAACGGACAGTCGGATTCCTGGTAAACCGGCCGAGTCGAGTTGTCCCTAACCCACTTCCCACTGAACAAGTTGCACCCTTTTATGGTCTCTCCGATTGCAAATGGCAACTTTTCTCCTTCATTCTCTAACACCAATACAAAAAAAGGAAAAAGAATCAGAAATTTGACAAATGACTCAGACAATTGGCACGAATGAGTAGAGTCAGACGTCCGCAGTCTTATTCTGCATGTGAGGAGACTATTTTTTTTTTTTTTTTGACTTGAATCCGTAACTACGAAGATACCTATGGTGTTCAGTTAATCATACCTGTGTTTGCAATGGATCGATCTGAAGCGTTAATGTCGAAGCCAAGGTGGCCAAATAGACAACTCAAGTCTTCACTGTAGAGGACTGTGAGGAAGACGACGAAAGATAGTAAGGCGAAGAGGTATGTAGAGAAAGGTGTTCTCCTGAGAGGGGAAGTGGAAGGAGAAGAGGAGGAAGAAGATGGCTCCATGTGTTAAAGCCTTTGGCCCTTCTTGGTTTCTAGTTGTGCATATGTGTTGTGTTTGTGTAGTAGAATAAATACCAGAGAACTAAAAAGGCAATGATATGTCACAGCTTAAAAAACAATATCAAGAAATTTGAAAAGCTTTGTTCATTGTGTCATGAATCAAAATGGGTGTAAACATGTACGTAATGAGTTTGAGCTTTGTGGCCGCGTAAAACTTGATAATTTCAATCATTGATATTATTGTGTGTCTCAGCATTTATTAGAATCTACTAACTATTCAATGGTTGAGATTGTCAAGTCTAATTTTTAAGTCCATCTAACATTACTCAACTTACATTTATCTACAACTTACATTTATCTATTACGTATGGGTTATAGGTGATTGTATGCATTCGAATTTTACGTTATAAATATGAAGTTAAAATAGCGTCGTTCAAACAATTTTCGTCTCAATACACAATTAATATTAAGAATATTATGAAATTCAAAAAATTTTGATTTTTTTTTATATGTTAAACTGGTTAATGATAAAAATATAAATAACCCTAATTTCAGAGTAACTCAAATGGTAATAGAGATGAACTATAAATTCATTCATCTTGAGTTTGAATTTTGACAATTCTTTGGAGACAGACTATGAGAGATTTATCCCTTATGAATACTCTAGTCCTGGCGTAGATGCCACCTTTAACTGGATCGAGAAAGGAATTAGTCGAGATGCGAATAAGTTGGTCCGAACATTCATGACCATTAAAAAAAAAAAAGAAATATATATAGCCCTATAGCTGAGTGGAGAAAAAAAAAGATTTGTATGATCGATGGCTTCAATGCAATCAAAATTTAGCAGTTTTTGATGAGATGAGTAGATCATTACTGCATTGTTTATCTGTGTATTAAGATCACTATGCATTTTTGCAATACAAAGCTGTGTTAGAATATAAAAGTTTCTTTTTAGAGGACCTTTGGGCTTCTTCATATGGATGAGATTTTCATGAGATTGTGGCTCATTAAACATGTTTAATCTGTATTTGATACTGTTCTTGCCAATTTTTCTTAATAAGGTTGTTTTTTAAGTTGATAAAAATTACATAGTGTAACATTGCAAGTGAAAAAATGTTATTTAGTCCGAATTTGGGGTGTAATCTTGGAACTTAATTCAATGTATCCATTTGATTAAAGGTAGATTTTATCTGACATTAAAACTCATAAATAATTTGATAGATGTATTGATTTAGGACCTTGATTAGATACTCAAATTAGGCCCACGTAGGTTCTGGTTTGATGACCTTTGCAAGGTCACCACATTAGATATTTGTTGTAAGACTAAACTACACGTATGTTCCTTAAATTATGACATTTGTGTCAATTTAAAAAAAAAATTTATATTAATTGAGTCACTGAACTCTCTAATTGTGTCAATTGAGTCATTCAGTTTGACTCCATTAGATTTTCTAACAGAAAGTGGCAAAGTGTGTCACTCACATGATACAAATGAATTGCAACTTGATCACATGAGTAGCACACTCTGCCACTTTATGTTAAATAATTTAACGGAGGCAAACAAAAAATGCTTAATTGACATAATTAGAAAGTTCAGAGGCTCAATTGGCACATAAAAAAAGTTTAAGAACTTAATTAAGATAAAATGTCATAGTTTGAAGTTCATTGTGTAGTTTACTCTTGTTATAAGTTCGGTTAGAAAAACTTTGATCTGGATTTCCATGTTTGCTTGCACAATTCAATGCTAATTAACATTTTCAATAAACAAGAATAAATTCTCTTTAGAAATGGCACTGTTTTTTTTTGGCTTTGATTCTTGAATTGAGCAATAAAATCAATTTGATTACAACAGAGAATGGTAATTTATTAGGATTTGTGCAAATGAATCAAACAAGAAAATTAATGCCAATTCATGTTACTATTACAGGCAATAAAATCAATGCAATTACCTTCTATGTATATATAGGTTTCTATATACTAACAATACACGACATGCGTTGCACGTAAATAAATTTTAATAATATTTTTTAGAAACGTGAATTATATGCGTAAATAATAAATTACGTGTCAAACAATTAATCTATTTTTTAATTATTTCTAAACTTAATTATTATTTTATTTTATAAATTTTTGAGAATCTAAAATGTCATTTATTTAAGAATCTATTTTTATTTTGTTAAATAGATTGATTAGATTGTTTATAATACTATTATATTATTGCATACCAAAAATCAAGTATAATATATATTTTACCATAGAATTCAATCTAGTAAATGTATATAATAATTTAATATATATATATATATATAGGATTATACTTTTTCATATAGATATAAAAAATTGTATATAACTGTACTAATAATAAATGAGTTCAAAAAAAAATTAGAAATCCTTTTAAAAGATTTCAAAACAAGTTAAAATTCAAATAGAAATAAAAATTAAAAATTAAATGAAAGTATATAAGTAGGTATAATTGATTTTATCATAATATTTAGGAAAAAAATAGAAAATTAAAAAAATTTCATAGATGCTAACATTTATAAGTTGTATAAATATGTACAAACGACATATCTATATATATGGAGAAGATATTCATTACAATTGTGATATCACGTTAACATTATCACGTGATATCACGAATTAATAATATGTAAACAAATAAGAAAATGAAACCCATACTAATTAATAATTACCTTCCATGTAAGCTAATAACTGCTCAATCTCCTTCTATGTAAGTCAATAACTATACAATATGTTATTATTAGTTGATAATATCATATAGTAATACTAATACAATATCACCGTTGTGTTGATTATTTACTCTGCTTAGGATTATTCGATCCGCCTTGCAAGTGCTTCCAACATCAGAATGGTTTTTAGGTAACCTTTTCTTAAGGACAAGCAATTTCTTCTAAAAAATATATATGTTTATTACTATTTTACAAAAGTGGTCAATAAAATACTTAAATTTTTTCAAAATGTTGAGCAAAAAAAAATCACCGAAACCTTGCTGCCTTTGAGGCAGTTTGGTTGGCCGGATTGGGTGGGATATATAGGTGGATTTAGATAAAAGTAAGTGAAAATTGAAAACAAATATAATATGACAATCTATTTTGTAAATTTATTGGGTTATTAAGGACATATGATGTGTGATATTTAGTAAATAGGTCCAATAGTCTATTTTTTATATTACTATCTCCTATTCTACTCTCTTACAATTTGTTGTCCAAGACTTCTGATCACCACCATGCACCACTTGTTCCTCCACTGGCACCAGAGAGGTGGGGGGGAGTTTGGGTCTTCTCGATTGAATTATCGTTTAATACGAATTGCTTTGAATTGGGCTTGTTCAAGTATGCTTTGTATCGTTATTAACGAGAGTCCAGAAGATTCTTATAGGCGGCTCGTTTTTTCATGCTAGCTTAAATATCTATTAATTTGAAGATGCAACTATTTAAAGATGCAATACTCAACACTCCTCGAACAGAAAATTAGATTTCAGATTGCCATATTTATAGTATCATAAATATGAAACTACAACACTCAAGGTCACGTAGATTGTTTTGCACCGTAATGGATAATGAATGTCCATGACATTCTTCAATTTATATGGAAACATGTCTATGTTATGTGTGTCAAACAGGGTAAATAGATCATGTGACACGTGTTAACCCGAAAATGATCTTCTTATTAAACACGCCAAGTTGGTCGAGTTCAGGTAACCCGTTTAATGGTCAGGTCAAGTTATTATTTACACATTTCGACACAATTATTAAACATGTCAGATTTTGGTTTTGCGATTTTTGATACAAACTCGAAATCAATCTGACACGAAATAATCCAACTCGATATGTTTGACACCCGTACCTTCTATAGTACCTCCATTCTCAGCCATTGTCCCTTACAGTCTACCCACACAGACATTGTTGTTAATGTGATCGTGTTATTGTCAGGGGCGAAGCCACCCTTGGGCTACATGCCCCCCTCAATTTTTTTTTGCTTCATATTAAAACATGTATTTTTTTAAATAAAATTTAGACATATTTAATTGTACCAACCCTAATATTGTGTTTTTGTAATATTGATTTAAATAGACTTCTGCCTAAATGATTGTTAATTTTTTGAACAATATTATTAAAATTTAATTTTATGACCTAATACATTGCGATATTAAGTATAATAGTGAGTCTTAATATTTAATAAACTCTACTATCTATCAAATAGTCACAAATCATTGGGTCTCCATCAATTAAATCTCAAATTAGATACAACTAATAAATTTTTTAACTGACGGACCTTTGGTCTAATGATATTCCTTATCTTATGAAAATTTTATTTTCTTGAGGTCAATGATTCAAGTCCCCCTTCCCCCTCTCCCCCTTCCAAAAAGAAACTAATATAATTTTTAACTTTTAAACATGTTTTAGATATGTTTGAATATGTTTTGAACATATTGATGTTATTTTATAATTTTTTAAAATTTTAGGGTTATTTCGTTATTATATTAAAATGTGTGTCATTATATAGTAAACTATAGGATCATAAATGTAAGATTGTTACCGCGATTTTATATATAAAAGAAAAATTATTGATAAAATTAATTTGTAATACTTTCAAATAAAAAAAATATACCAGGGTCAATTATAAATAATAATAATTAGTCGCATTCTCGATAAAAAAAATTTAATTATTATTTTTTTGTTTACGAGTATATCAATTTTTAATCTTATATGTTAAAAAGTATTAAATATAATTTTAATAAGTATAAATTTATGAACTTTTACGATTTATTACAAAAAATTAAAACATGCTAATATGCCCACCCTAAAAAAAATTTCTGGCTCCACCCCTGGTTATTGTGACCGTGACTGTTAGTGTTATTATATCACTGTTATTCTTACTATGTCATTGTTACTGTTACTGTCTTGTTATTACTATGTCGTTGTTATTATTATTATCTTATTGTTATTGTCTATTTTGTAATATAATTATTATTTTACTAA